TAAATATCAGTTCTGCTAATTTTCTGGCTATAAAACTTTTGCAGAATTTCTCAAAGTATGACACGCCTAATGAATTATCTACAATTATTGCATAATGAATAATTAACTCTTTAAGTTTCATTTAGTTTGAAAATTTTCAAATCGAAGTGGCCTTCAACGGCAGAAATTTATAATATATAAATGAATGTTTTTTAGAGTGAAACTATTTATCACACGTTAAAGTAAGCAGCAAAAAAAATAACTAGAAGAAAAATTGAAAAATTTTTTACGAAAGCGTGAATTGCTTGCATTAAGTAACTCAAGAATGACGAGAGGTCATCGAGTTAAACTATAAGTTGACGACCTTGTCGACGGAATTCCCTTTTGAAATGTAGAACGATATTTCAAAGTTCATTTCACAGCAACGTTGTAGATGACCTTTGGACTCATCACTCTATACAAGTATTATGTGTTTTTTATTCAATCAGTCTAGACACTATTATACTTGTTATTTTTTTCATTAGTACAAAACAAGGTATAATCAAGATAATTTTTAATAATGATTTTTCTCTACTTTTTGATCTTACCATTTTCATCACACAATCAGCCGTTAAGTTTTTTAAAAATTTTTTTAATTTTATCGGTAATATATTACAGAATACAGCGTTACGATATAAAATTCAACTATTTTGAAGTAAAATTGGGCATTTATTCATCAACAAAATAGTATTTCGCTAAAAAGTTTTATTAAATTAATAAAAAATTATTTTTACACTTCAATTTTTAAATGCTTTTTAAATAATTCGAGAAATCACGGCATTTTTGTTTCGCTATAATTAGTTGGTTTCACTTTTTTTTTAAAAATAAAATTTTATAACACAAAAATCTCCTTATATTTTTATACCTTTCTATTACACAATAAATATTAATTACGCAATCTAAAGCTAATTATCAATGATTAATTGAGCAAGACAAATGTGAGAAAAATTTTCTGGACTAATTTGAGGACAAGCAAGGAAGGAAGGGAGAAAGAAACTCTTACAGTGTTTCGGTACTTTCATTACTTCCAAGTTCATTCAAGCTATGAACACGAATTGTCATAGCTTGCTGTCGTCGTTGCAGTAATTTTCGCTCATCACCAGAAGACAAGTTTATTTCAGATTCTGATGAAAAGTGACCATTTGGACAGGAATACTGTGTTCCAACTAAATCGTACATAATATTCCATTCAATCAGTTGCTTGTTGGTATTTCAATGAATGATAAAATCGAAGAAAGTACAGTGAATTTTTGCAGCAGCAGTTATTGCTAGAACAAAGACGATAAGAAAACATGTACGACATTTAAAAGAGAAAAAAACGGCTAGTTGCAAATTTTTTGAAAAAAATTAACAAGAGTTTGTAAGTTTAATTTAAAGGAAATATAGAAAGCAAAGGTCAGATATAAGTAAAGAAATGGCTGATTTCGATGAGACTGCTCAAAACTAGTCCCTTCTAGAAAGAAGATAACTGATGGAAGCTCATTTATTTTATAACTTTTGACTGAGAAATATTCATATTTTTGATGCATAAAAAATTATTTAATAAATCTTTTTGGTACTATCAGTGTTTTCGAAAGAAAGTGCTACCTATAAAATATGCATCAGAGTTTTTTTGAAAAAAAAGCAAAGACAAAAAATGAAACAAATGAAGCAAGAAAAAGGTCATATTAAGGTGAGTGAAAGGAGGCAAGAAGCGAAAAAGCAGAGTTTAACGAAGGTAATTAGACATCGGAGTTGACAACAGTGTTTACAGTAATGCCAGTAATGACAATAACAATGATAGTGACGAGGAAGGTGATGGCTGCTAGATCGTAGTAGTCAAACAAAGTGAATATTCAAAAAAGGAAACTGAAATAAAACTGCTGTTGAATTATTTCTTCTTTTTTTGCTTACACTTATTTGTCTTTTTTCAAAAACGGAAGGAAAACAATTACAAAGTGCAGGCGGCATTTAAGTACTCTATTTCAGCTCATAACTTAGTTCGAACTACTTTCCACTCTTAACTCAGTTCAAACTGATCTTAACTCTCCAATGAATCTGTTAATTGTCTATTCGTATTGTTACAACTAATAGAACAAAAAAGTTTGTTGATGTATCTATGCCTCTTACATGATAATAAATGTTATCAATAATTTAATTCGAGATACCCATACAATAAATGCAAAAAAATTAAAATTACTCCCTCACATTTACATGGCTAATGTAAATTGTATAGTGATAAACAGCTATCAATATGATATTTTTGTAAAAGTGCACAACATAACTTCTTCCTCAACGTTTTTTTTAATCAGTTAACCTTTACTGATTTACTTACTAATGTTTTGCCCACAGAATCAAAGTGATAACTACTAAAATAATTGATTTTTTAAAATCATTTTTTAAATATTGATTTTATCTATAAATATGTGCAGTAGTTTTAGTTACAATGTAAATTTAAAAAAGATTGCTGGAAAAATTTGAAGAAATAAAATTGACAAATTACAAAAAATTTAGTGCCAAAATTTTAAGTTATGATGAGAAGCGATTTAATGACAAGAATATTTAAGTTTGTGTCAAATGAGACTTGTCAAAAGAGAGGAAGCATTTAATATACATCGCCTATAATCTAACATGCATTTGCGACATTTATTACTTTAATCTGGAGTGGCTTTTGATTTGTTTCTTAAGTTAACATTCCTTTGCAAACTTTTACTTCGCAGCAGCAGCAGTCTTCGTTTGCAAGTGTTCTCTAAATAAAGAAAGCAGTGAATAATCCTTTCCGTTTAATTACTGTAATCTCTTTCGTTCATATCAAAGTAAGTACCAAGTAGATCTGATCGGAATAACAATGCAGTGAATAGTGCACGATGCAAAATGCATACAGTATCAAAAAGCACTTAACCTTGACAGTATTGTCTCACTGCAAAGGTAAGAAGCGAATAATTTTGATAAAGTTTTAATAAAACTAACAAATGCGAAATTTTTGTTGCAAATACAATAAAACTCAGTGATTTTCATTCCATGATTGTAAAAATCTGTTTTTAAATAATAATAAAAATTATTGTAGTCTAATTTTGTCAATCTTTTAAAAATAGACTTTTATACAAAAATAATTTTAAGTTATTAAAAGATACAATAATGATAAAAACAGCCATGAAAAAAAATTGGACTGATGAAAGGTGCGAATTCAGCAACTTTAAAATTAATATTAATGATACAAGTAAACGAGCAAATTAGAAGTTCGCTCATCTTTTTTTTGAATAAAGCGTAAAAAGAATTACTTGGAAAAATTTTTGAATGCACATTTATAATTATTTATTATGATTCACGAGAAGCAATCAATAGAAGTAAGTAATTTGACTTCCTTGTTGAGATGACTTTGTTACGTTTAAGAATGCGAGAACACTTTATCAATTCGTGAGGAACACATTCTCACTCATTCACTTACTCACTCACTCACTCACTTGTTTGCTTGTGCTTGCTTGCATTTTTTTTTTGATGAAAAACGAACGGACGAAAGAGAAGTGAAAATTTCTGTCTTATTTCATTTGCTAGGCAAGAAATAAAGTATGCAACGTCGTGTCAGTTGGCGTAAGCTTGCCAACAGGTGGCTGCTAACTCTCTCTACCTGAACCTTTCACGCAGCAGCACTTAATGAACCAACATTCAGTAGGTCAATAGCTGATTCAAACATCCGTTCCGATACGCTCATATGTAATAATGTTTTAGATAAGTTCAAATATTGTCTTCAACAGATCAAATCAAATGCGCTTTGAGCAAAGCATTTTTTTGAACTAAATTACTTATTAATTTTTATTTTTTCATTACAAAAAAAAAACGTTTAAAAAGATTTTCTGCAAAATTTCCAATAAAGAAATAAAATTTTTTTATGAATTGGAAACTAGATGTTTACAAGTCTAATTAAATATGACTGAACGGTGTGTTTTTGTTTTAAAAGTAAGTTTATATTCCTTTCTAAACAAGAAAATCGAGTCCAGCAAGTGAAGTCATTTATGAAATAATATACTTTATTACGTTCTATCGTATAGAAAATCGTAATTTTAGACAGAAGCAAATTAACGAACTGTAAAATAATGCAAAGATTACAAAAATAACGAGCAAATTATAGTAAATAATTTCTGAGCTAAATTTCTTGGAAAACTGTAAAAAAAGAAGTAGTAGTATGTAGTAAACGAGAAGAGTTTTAAAAAGCATGGCAGGATTGTTGCAAAGGATACAGCACTTCCGCCAACAAAAATAATTTGTATTGTTACAGAATGAATAATCTGTGGAATACAAAAGCAGATTGCTGACTGCAACGAAAAATTTTGTCCTAATCGGAACCGATAAAAGATCAGAAATCATAAATTTTTGCAAGAAATGAAGAACGAAGAAAAGTCAAGTATTTTAAACGTCAAATAATATAGTTTTGTACGTTTCCGCTGAGACATCTTTTGCTTTTTATAATGCATTTCTTTTTGTAAAAACAATGCAATTAAATTTTTAAAGGTTACAAGTGATCAGTAGTAAGGTTTCATAGACTAATTACCAAAGTTTATACGTCCTTTTGTGTGCAATAAAAAATTTTTGATAAATATTGTACGTTTGTTTATATTGTATTAGAGATGATAAGTCATACTTGAAATATGAGTCAGTTAATATTTATTGCATGCGTAATAATATTGACTTAGATATAATTTTTTTACCCATGATATAATGCAATTAAATACATAATTATAGAATATTTAAATTAATAAAAAAGCAGAAACAGAATATTCATTTGGAAGCAATGAAGTTAATTTTTTGAGCTTTCAAGAAACGACACAAAGGAAAGTAACTGATGATTGCAAAAATGATTGCAAAAAAGTAGTCGATGATTGCAAAAATTTTAGTTAAAAAAAAAGTTTGCCTAAAGTAAAAAAAGATAATGAGTTATGCAAAAACTAAGCTCACTAAAGTGCTATGTAACATCCAGAAACTAGTCTAGTTCATTACCGAGGACAATGTGCGGTTGCATGGTTTTCAAGCTATTGACGCTAGGAATTATTTACCTATTATTGCTTCAACAAGATAATGCACAGAACGTGTCAAAAACAACAGAACCGGAATTAATCTTGGAAAAAACGGTCTTCCCGTTTACCTACAAAAATGTGATCTTCTTGAACCAGCTTAACTTTAAGATCTTAAAGAAGATCTTACAAGAGACCATTGAGGAAGTTGAACAAGAAGGGCGCGCAGTCATTAGTCAAGAGGATCGTAAACGACGTAATGCTCCAATTGAATCTAAATTTCCGTCCCTTCAATCTCATGATCTCCAAGCTTATCGACTGAAAGCAATTATCAGTTTTTCTCCAACTCAAGCAGTATAACTCATGATTACTTTTGCTGTTATGGAAAATTTATTAGTAATTTCCCACTGCAAGTAGTAAAAAACTTATCACTATGGAATTCAAATATTAATATCATTTTTATGATAATATTTTGATAAAATATTTCTTCTGTCAATTAATACTGTATTAAAATTTCAATAGTTATAGAAATTATATGAGTAAAAATGATTTGACAAAAGCAGTGAGCGAGAATTCAAATTCAATAATACCATTGAGCAAATTTAATGTATTAATAATTTTCTAGTTTTTAACGCTTGCCATATTAATAAAAAATCTTTTCACACTTTTCGAACTTCAAAACTCCAAAGGCGAAAATGTATACTAAACAAAAGTTTATACATATTCATTTAAAATTGCCATTTAAATCAGATTTGAGCTTGTGTGTTGCTAAAATAACGCCAAATTAACAAATAAAAGAGATGTAAAAGTTTCACTAATATTTTTGCAAAAAGAAGCTGGTAGATGGGCTTTCAAGGGCATGAATATGTCTTGTGGTTTACGATTATTTTCAACAATAAAAAATAAGCAGAAATATATTCACAAATCTATAACAGCTATCAAGCCAAGTAAGAGCAAGAAAAAACTGGAAAAACTGGTAACCTTCCCAAAGGACTTCGAACGTGATTAACAGATGCATCTTGTCGAGATAGTTGATAGCGTTCAGTTTCTGCTAAAGCCATTTGACAATTCTTGTCTAAAAGTGTGACCTTACGACGTGATTGACGCTTGAGTGGGTTGCAGCTACTTGCATCCTTGTAGAATGATAAAATTAAATGTCTGAACATAGACTAAAAAATTAATTCTTCCCCTTTCAAATTGTATAAAAAAAGGCATTCGGCAGTAAATTTTCAATTGAAAAATGGCAAGCATAAAATGTGCAAACGAAGTTAGTGCAAATTTAGCAAAAAACTGCTTCCAATTGTTCATCGTTTATTTGAAACATTAAACTTTAATGGAATTAGGAAAAATATTTAACTCACAGCAGAAAGCGGAAATTTTTCTTTACGAGTTGATGGGAAGGGAAAGAATTGACGTGGATCAGAAGGTGCCATCGATAATGAGCTGATTGTATTTTCCGTGATGTCATTGAAACATTCCCCAGCAACGGAGCTGCCCTCTGGGGTCAGCTGCCGAGGTGAATGTTGCTGCTTTTTTTGTTCCTCCAAGGTGACCACTCGTTGTGCAGTCTGTTTGAAATAACTAAAGTAAACATATCTCTAGCATTTCCATGTTAGAGTAATCAATAGCAAGAAACGATTTTTAAGTGCTCTCCATGTTGAACTTAATAATAACATTGAAATGTAAGTTCTGCTTGATCTTACTGTCGTATGTTGCAATATTATTGCATTATTGGTGTAGTACTCAAATTTGCTGAAATTCATCTTTGCAAATAGCAATGTAAAAGGAGAAAATAGAGAATAAGCGGTGAGTAAATATTACTTACTGATAGTCTAAAAAGCAATGCACAAAATATGCGTGTATTTATCGAAATATAAAGGGAAAAAGAAAAAATAAAAGTGTGTAAAATTTGCAATAATTTTTTTAATCTCTTAGTTGTCTGAGAGTGCAAAGTTAGAAAAGAAAAACTTTTGCATGAGAGTGAAAGTGAACTCAACAAAGCCACGTCTTTCTATAAAAAACGTAAGAAGAAATCAGAAATGCGACAGTTTTTTCCGTCAACTTTACTTGAATTAACGAAAATATTCTAACTAAACGGCCATTTTTCCCAATTAGCGATGTTGAGTGAGTGAGTCATTTGCCTGTGAAATTTAGCTCGGACTGAATTAGAAGTGAAAATGATTTTGTGATGACTCGATGGGAAGTAAATCATACAAACGATGAGTAAGTATCATTTGAATAGCAAATTCTAAACGAGTAAATAATTTTAGTGCTTGTTTTCGAGGTTACTCATTAATTTGCATTAAAAACAAAATTTAAAAAAAATTAAAGGAGGAGTTAAATAGATTAATTGCAAAGCACTGCTATTCAACTATGTAGCACTGCATTTTCTTTTCGATTTTTTTCAAAATATTCCAAAACTTTTTTTCCGATCTTTCAAAATATCCCAAAACTTACTTTTTCTATAATATTTAAGATAACTTCGATTGCGATAAATAGAAATAGTGATTTGTAGCCATTATATATTAGTAGACTAATTTTTATCAAATTTCATCTTTGCTAATTACTGTAACAGAAAGTTGCATTTCTACAAGTGTTAATGCTTACTATTAAAGGCACATAACTTACGCTCTCAACTTCTTGTGCGCTCAAAAAAAATTAATTAAATGATATTTTTTACTGCTCAAGATTTTCTTCAAAATCAACTTGAAGCAAAAAATTAACTTCGTTTTGCTTTCTGAAAAAAAATATGGTTTCCCTTCCCTTCAAAAGTTAGTATCGACTTATTCAATTCTATGCAAAATGCAACAGTTTTGAGCTTTTTTGACAAGAAATGAATTCGTATTGCAAAAAAAAGGCATCAAATGAACATATAAATACTTTCAAAAATATCTGCGTGATGTTCTCTTCTGGGAATTCATTGCCATTGGAATGAATGGCAGTAGCACTTCAAGACAACTTTCCAATACAATTTTTTCATTAAATTTATTTCAAAAATACTAAATTCGAAACTTTTCACTTAAATAGTTTTGTTCGGAACATGCTAATCATTCTCTTAGTTGTCTGACATGCTAAAAAATTTAATAAACTTTTGCATGTTTTTGCTTACATGTGTTTATTTTAATTAAATAAAATTAGTAATTGTGATAAGGTGAGATAACAGATAACAGGTCATGATCATTTTATTGCTTAAGAGAGTTCAAATGCCACAAAATGAGCTAACAATGAATTAATCATAAGATGAACGAAGAGATTGAACAGAAATTTGGATGACATAAAAAAATTGTTTAATTCGCAAATGTCATTTATAGAATTCAGTACTGCAAGCAAGCAATTTGGAGCATATAAGTATACTTGATTGCCATAAAAATTATTTACATAAAATCTTTGGAATTCATTACTAAAAGGTCATGCGTCACATGATGTCACTTTTCAATCGTAATTTTACAAAATGACGGCATAAGATTAATTTTGTAGTTGGGATGAAAAAGTGAAAGGAGAAAATACACGTCATTGATAGGAAATTTGGATAATTCAAGGTTGTTTATAATTGTGTAAAATCATCACAACATGATTTTATACAAATTTTAGTATTAATTTTTTTTGTGATTTTGTCCAATTTTTTAGTTATATACCATTAGAAATATGTATTAACACCACGCAGTCTCTGCACATTTATAAGTTTTTAATGTGAAAAACATTAGTGGCTCATAATGAACACGTGCAAAAAAAGCAATACAAACAAACGTATTTGGCACTTTTATGCAATTTTAGGCAATTAATTTCATTGCTGAAATTCTTTATAATTATAAAAAGAAAAGAAGAAACACTAAAGTGAAGCAAAGATTCCGCCAAATATAAAATTTTGAAAAGGAAAACAAATTTATAAAAGCAAATATGTGCTTGAATAGTAAAAGATATGAAATAGAGGTATAAATTTTTTAGAATAAAGAACAATCCTCCAAATAGTTTAAATGTAATGTACATGAACTCAAAAACTCAAAATTATACTTAAGCAGATAAAATGAGTTTATAAAGTTCTCAACGACTTGATATACTAAAAATTGGTTTGAAAGACTAATATTTTCAAATATGGCTAAAAAATTTGAAAATATAAATGTCAAATTTTTGATTCTCAAAAATTGATAATGATCAAAATATTGTATATTAGCACAAAATAAAAGAATAAAATGCTTCAAACTTGGACCCGAAAATTGAGTGACAGATTTGAGCATACACATATTTTTTATATAATATATATATAAAGCAAGCATAAAGTGTCATAAAAGCGAATAAAGAGTAATAAGTAAATGTAATACATATAATTTGCTTATCAAAGGCAACAGAGCTTAACAAGTAAACAAAGCCTCGAAATTGTTGTAGCTGTTGACGAAGTAGAAAGTGTATGCAAACATTAAGGCTAGCATAATCTGTAGAGAAATAGTAACTTAAAAATTTGATTTAATTATTTTGTTCATTTTACATTAATCTTAGAATTGGTGTATTTTTGATAAAATTTGATAAATTATTAAAATAGTTACAAAGATGAATTTGCTCTGTGCTTGCACAAATTTCATATACTATTTGTTTGTTATTAAAATAATCTTAA